CGGAGATATAGAAGAGAGGTGGGACGTAGGCAGCTGCATGACGGGCTGTTCTTAAAAAAATGCAACACGGGCTCGTAAAAATTGTGAGAATAAAATAGGTCATGCATTAGTAAGTAGTACATACCTATAGTTAATTAATGTACATATTACTATTAGATTAGCTATCAATAACATTGGCCTAAGATATATCTAGCAGTTGGTTATCCTTGCTGTAAGGCGTCCTCTGATGTTGTTGGAAAATCAGTTGCCACCCATCCATTGGATTGGACTTAAGCCGGATCATGAGCCATCCAATCTATGCAACCAAAATCCTGCACATGCAACATGTATGTTGTGTGTTATTTGCAACATTTTTCTTGACATAATTGAAAACCGTGAGAAAAACATTCCAACTTTTTGACACACACATAAAAAAAGCATGCAACCGGAACCCCATTGATTGTGGCAGCTCTTTCAAAAATAGGTCGGATCATGAAAAGACAAACACATCTAGCATGCAGAAACAACAAAAGGCAACAATGTATCACTTGCATGTGCACAAAAATATATGAATGTTTGCAGCATGTCGAAACACCGTACACATCATAGAAAAATCTCTGACTTTCAGGGATCTCTCGCCATAGAGAATGGAGGCGCCGCCTTCTGCTGATTTGGGCTCACCAACCATGGATCCGGCTCACCGCAGCCCGGCAATGCTACACGTACAAACAGTTTACAGGCTTTTACAGGTGGGTTAGTTTTTATTGATCAACAAATGAGCGGGACGGTCCACCCTCCTGAAAATCAGGGGGGGGGGAGAGGTTTGTGATTGGTTGTTAGATGGAAAGAGCTTGTAAAAGCTTGTAAATCTTTGTATGTCTAGCATTTTTGCACCGCAGCCCCATCAGAGATTCAGAGCCGGATCAGGAGACCCTGGACCCACTCCTTCCCATAGTTCCAACATATTCCAAAAGAGTAATGGATTGACAGCAATCTCAACCATGAGTTATGCATGGTCCACGGAAGGAGGACTAGAGAAGGTGCTTTACAAGACGTTATAGGAAACAAGAGGATCACCAAAGTGATGTGTTTTTTGTTCGTAATAACCGACTGGGTTTCCCTCCAGGCACACTATGATAATTTTTCTTTTCTTATATAACAAGCAAATTTTTAAAGAAATAAGATTAAGTGGGGGAGGAAGGAACTATAGCATGCTGGTGTTACTTCATGAGCAAATGTTGTAGATAATTCAAGAAGTTCTTATTATTTTGTCTATATATGATGTGACTAGATTGTAGTGCATGTCTTAAGGCGACTAGAACAATAATTGCATGTCAATTCATCTTTAAAAGTAGTTTATTATTGTGACAAAAAACTAAAATGCATCGTGTTCTAGGCGGACATGCCCATACAACAATTGAGTGTCATTGCTCGCCTAGCGATTTTGCTGAAACAAAAAGGCTTATGCCCAAATACGGTGGATATCTTTGCCCCACGGATATACGAATCAGGTATATCCCTTATCTCATGTATGCATATATGCATATATTTGTCTCACAGATAGCAAGTTCAATGGTAAACCCAAATCTTGATGTTGAAAATATAATGGAATATTGACAAAATGACATTCTTATATCTTTCTTTTTTTGCGAGTGGACACTCTTATATCTCTACATAATAATAAAGTAAATAGTGCTTCTAACGATCCGTCACATAATTTTGCAAAAAGAAACGCTGTATTTTTTGTGAATTAATCCGCAGTAAATACTTAAGTCACAACCAAACCGTTATTTTACATTTCTTCGGAAATCCCCTTGAATTTTCAGGTAATTCCCCGTGGATCATATTTAAATCAAACAAATGCTTTTTAAAATTATCCATATCTTTTAAACCTTAACTTTGATTTTTGAACATGTTATATATTAATTTTTATTTGAAAAATATGGAGAATCTGGATATGATGTTATTTTTACCTATTAAATATTTTTTAAATGTTATTTTGGAAGATATTTAAGTCAAACAAATATGTTTCTAAATTATCCATATCTTTTAAACCATCACTCCGAGTTTAATATGTTATGTAGGAAATTTTATTAGAAATTGTGTAGAACCTGAATATGATGTTATTTCTACATGTTAAATATTTTTTGAAAGCAAACTTATACTCTATGGCACACGGTCCCTTTTTTTACCCATGGTGATCTGAATTGCAAACAAACACCCAGTAAAACATATAGAGATGAAAGAAAACATCGATAACCACACATGCACACCCCTGAAAAAACCTCGCAGGAGAAAATAACAGATTTCTCATCGGGAGAGCGAGAGAGAGCGCACGCGCGCGCGCTAGAGA